CTTACCATAGCCCCCAACCAGGAGATGGGCTGAGTTTAGAAGTCCCTGTTAGCTGCATCCCAGAGCTGGGCTAACAGACTGCCATGGCTGCAGCTCCTACCAAGGCAGGATCAGGGGCTGAGAGGGGGAGATGGAGACAGGAAAGAAGGTGACTCCAAGCAAGGGAACCCTGGCTCTCCAGGCCTGGGGTAGGGAGACCTACCTAGTAGGATGATCACCAGGTTTGGATGCTTGGAGGCCAAATACTTCAATTCCTGAAAGAGGACAACAGAAATTAATCCATGGCCCAGTGCAGAAAGATGAGAGAGAGAGGGGAGAGTGGTCAGGGTATTCTGGGAAGAGTCCAGCTCCTCAGCTTCTACCTGGGGCAAAGCCACTCAGTGCCATAGCAAGAGGAGAGGGAGCGGGGAAGTGAGCAGGGTGACTGCCCCAGGTGCCAAAGCAAAAGGGTGCCAATAGGTGCTGCCCAGCTGGGGCAGGGTGTGGAACAGAGCTGTAAGCAGCTTGTTTGGGGGGGACAAGGAGATGGGGGAAGGGCCATAGGGGGTGGAAGGCCAGGGCTAATAGGGCTCAGCCCCCTCAAATGTGGGTCAGTGGGTAGGGCCACAAGGCAGTCCAGCTGTGGGCTCTGGGAGGCTGCAGCAAGGGTGGGGAGGGGCACGCATGCAGCCAGGATTGCAGCCCACCATGTGGATCACATCCTGGCTGTGCAACACAGCAGGCAGGTACCGGTCTACTCTGTGAAGGGGAAGGGGCTTGGGGGGCAGGGGTGGGAGAGCAGCAGGACATACATGGTGTGTCCGGCTCTTAAGGCAGCGGTAGCAGTGTACAGAGCCCAGCACGCAGCAGCAGCTACCTCCACCCTGTGCACAAATCGGTGGGGCATGTGCCTCCTGGGCCTCTGCCGGGGTGCACACAGAGGCGGGAGCCCCCCTGTGCCCCTGGACGACCCGCCCAGGTTCCAGTAATCCCACCATCAAGCCCGGCCAGGGCCCCATTCACCCCAGCCCCTGCCTTACCTCTGCCCCACTCCATCCCTCAATGTGGGCACCTCGATCTGGCCCCCCATGCTTGTTCCCCCACAGACTTACCTGCTGCGGGGTGGGGATGCATGCTTGCACAATCACACTCAGTCTCCCCAAATCATTTTTTTCTCCCTCTGCCTATGGGAAGGGCATCTCCTGCCACTGCATGCACTCGCGGGCAAACATGGGAGCACATGTGCCCCCCAGATCTGTGCGAGGGGCAAGGGCATGCTGCCGCTGTGGGCTTTGCCCTGGGAGCCAAATGTCATTGCTATGGCACTGACGCCACTGTCAATATTACTTTGGCTCTACAAAATCTCCCTACATGGTGCCCTGCCTTTTCTGGGTCCTACAGGAAAAGTCTCATTGTCACCCCATACATCTGAGTCAGAGATGTGAACTTAAGAGCTCAAATTCACTTAATCAGATGCTGTGAGCTTCAGCTCAAGAAAGTTTATGCTATATATACAGACACACACATGTTATATATGCACACACTCACACCTACTTTGGTTAGTCTATAAGGTGCAAATCTATAAGGTGCAAATCTGTCTTCTACTGGACTTCACAGTAATATGGCTACCTATGTCTCTCTCTTCCTTTTGAGAGAAAGAGAGATGGCAGCAGTGCAGGTATCAGTGAGCTATTCAGTCTCATAATCTACCATCCTCTGGCCCCTGGAGGTTTGCTCATATCTCACAAAAATCCTCCCACTGGCTCAGCAAACTTAATCTTAGCAGGGTCCAATCTCACCTGTGCTCCCTCTGGGTTCCGACAGGCTGCAAAGACTCTTTCAGGTGGGTTTGATTTTTCCAGAAACTGCTTGACAAGCTCCAAGCCAAGTCCACGATTGGCCCCAGTCACCAGAACGTTGCAAGCATGAAATCCAGCCATGCTGTCTTGCCTACTTCTACCTCCACCCCAGTTAACAATGACCTTCCTCATTGGGAGTTACTCTATTTATAACATCCAAGTTCCTTCCCCCTAGGATTACACAAGCTTTTGGCTCTGGAAATCAGGTCTCTGATCCTACACAGAGGAACCTTGGCTCTAGTCCATGACTGGAAATCACTTCAGGTCCCAAACTGTTAGGAGTTTATAGAAGGGGCTTCCTTTACAGCTCTGGGAGGCACCAGGAACTGGAGGAGCTCACTTTGTTCCTTTTCATTTTCTACAGAAGGCACAGGCTTGGCAGGCAGAAAAGGAGGTAAAGAGCAATGTGGGGAGGCAGCTATAAAGCCCAGGGTGGAGGATTCAATGGGTTAATGTGGGGTTTTATGGAGGCCTGCAGACGAGGCAAAGCTTTGAGACTCTTGACAAGATAAGAATTTGGGCAGGTTAATATTTAACATGGCTAATCTTGTTCTCTTCTCTAATTCTAGTTTTATTACACCATTGCCGAAAGGGCAGCTCATCAGGCAGCTTCCAATTTCTTTCCTATCTCATAAGAACCTGAGAAGATAAGTTAAGTGCCATCCTGGATCACACAAATGGTTCATCTAGCCCAATATCCTGCCTGGCCCTGCAGCCCCTGCACCACCTCCTCCAGAACCTCTTGTTGAGGTTTTGGCTGCTCTATTCCCCTCACCAGTTTATTTATGCATTCCTCATCCACGGCCCCACCAAGTCCTGGGTCCTCCTGGTCAACCTCCTCCTGGCCCTGGTCAAGCTGGCTGTATATCTTACCAGGAAGGAGGCTCTGGCTGGAAGGGTCCCTGGGGACTGTGGGGCTACTTTTCTTTTACGTGTGAAATCCCGTCTCCAGGCAGAGTATCACTGGGCAGTGTCCACTGGCTCCTTGGACTTGTTTCAGGGCCAGTGAGCACTGTCCAGCATGCTCTGCTTGGTGTCCAACTTTGGCACACTGGTTATTAACCTTTGACCTCCACTCTTGTCCCCATTTTCATGATTATTTGTCCCAAGTAATCTGTAACATGTCATTAGTGGCCCCCCCAGTACTAAAGGGGACTTATAGTTTCCTTAGATTTCACAGATTTCATAGACATTAGGGCTGCAAGGGACCTCGGAAGATCTTCGAGTCCAGCCCCCTGCCCCAGGGGCAGGAAGTCAGCAGGGGTCATAGGATCCCAGCAAGATAAACATCCAAATGTCTCTTGAAGACGTTCAAAGTAGGTGCTTGAACCACCTCCGGCAGCAGTCTATTCCAGACCTTGGGGGCTCAGACAGTAAAGAAGTTCTTGCTTATGTCCAGCCTGAAACAGTCATGGAGGAGTTTGTGACTGTTTGACCTTGTCATCCCTTGGGGTGCTCTGGTGAACAGACATTCCCCAAGTCCTTGGTGGGCTTGGGTCCATGTTTTTCCTTGACCTGTTAAAAGTCCTGCCTGGCCCTGCAGCCCCTGCATTGCCTCCTCCAGAGCCTCTTGCTGAGGTTCTGGCTGCACTTCTCCACTCACCTATTTATGTACTCCCTGTCCATAGCCTCACCAAGCCTTGGGACCTCCAGGTCAAACTCCTCCTGGCCCTGGCTAAACTGGCTGTATATTTTCCTAGGAAAGAGGCTCTGGCTGGGAGGATCCCCAGGGATTGTGGAGCTGCTTTCATTTCCCTCATTCAATCTCATCTCTGGGAAGAGTATAACTGGGCAGTATCGATTGGCTGCTTGGACTTGTTGGAGGGCCAGTGGGCTCTGTCTGGTGTGCTCTGCTCAGTGTACCCCCTTGGCTCATTAGTTATTAGCCTGACTTCCACTCCTGTCCCCATTTTCTTTATTATTTATCCCAAGGAATTAGTAACATGTCATTACTGGCCTCTGTTATGAAAATGAGCTTGTAGTTTTCCTTGGCTGCCTGGGCCCGTGATTTCCGTTAACATATTAAAAGTCCTGGTTGGCCCCAAGGCACCCAGAAAGCATCTTATATAGAGGGGTGATGTAATGAGCCTAAGCTCTGGTGGGGCAGATCCAGTCGCAAGCCCCAGCTGGAACAGATCAGGCAATTAGGCTGAGTCATCCCTCAGGAAGTGGGTTCCAGGCACACTGGTCTACATGAGCTCAGACCAGATAGCAATAGGTTCTCTAGGGGAGCAGACAGCCTTGCTGTGCCTCTGGCCTGCTTGGAACTCCTAAATCTGATTCTGTGCTCTGAACCATGGGCAACTGGTGCCATCTGAGTCAGGTGGGGCACATGCCCCCCCAGGGACCAGTCAGTGACTGGGGGGGGGGGGCGCGGCCTGCAGCCAGTCTCACCGACCGGGAGGAAGGGGGTTCCCTTGTGGCCAATAGCACTCACCTGAAAGTGGCCATGGTGCTCCCAGAAGCGGCCACAGCCACTTCCAGGAGTGCCGCAGCTGCTTTATCCACCGCTTCGTTTGTGCCGGTGCTTGCAGGGGGGGCACCAGCTCTCCTGGCTGCCCCCCCGCCCATCGCCTAAGCAAGGAGCATGGCCTGACAGGGGGTGCACCAGCACTCTCAGGGGGTGCACATGCACCCTAGTGCACCCCCTACATGTCGCCAGTGCTCTGACCCTATGACTTGTGACTCCATGTTCTGAACTTCTGGCTTGGACCCTCCTCTCTTCCTCCTTGCTCCTGCTTCTGTCTTAGACCTCCTGGCCTGGATCAGTTGCACCCTGACCAAACGGTTCTTTAAGCTGACAGAATTTCCTCTGCTACAGCTGTCAAGGACTGAATGAGACAGGGGGAGCTGAGGTGAACTTGACTAAAAAGTTGGGCTTTTGTCAAAACTCTGTTCTCAGTGGCCAAGGAGAAAATGGTGAGAAAAAGTTTGGGGCTAAAGGACTCCTTTGTAGGTGTAGCATCCCAGCTGTATCACACCCTATATCAGCAGTTCCCCAACTGTGAGTGGCAACCCCAAATAGGGTCGCAACATCAGCAGATGGGGTCATGATAAACATACCCCCTGAGATTTCTGCATCCACAGTAGGGTGTAGGGCTATAGCCAGGCTGGACCAGCTCTTGGCAGGAGCCACCTCTGTAGCCCAGCAGGTGGGTCCCAAAGTGGGAGGGGTGCCACACCACCATGGTCACCAAGGTGAGGCACGACAACAGCGGTGGTGAAGAGTTGTGCCCACGCTGCTGCATAATGGGCAGGGGGCACCTCACCTTGGCAGCCATGGCGGCGCAGTGCTCCCTCCTTCCTGTGCCAGGTCTTGCTCACTGGCTCCCCGAGCCCCAGGGGAAGGGCAGCAGGGTGGGGAACCCCAAGCCTGTAGCAGGCAGCTCACATCCTCCCCCAACTTTGACTATGCTCTGGCAGCACTGTTAATGGGGAAGGGGGCATGGCAGGGAGGAAGCCAGGCTCTGCGCTGCACTCTGGCCGCAGCAGCCACCACCTCCTAAGGGTGGCAGCTGGGGCTCAGGCATTTCTGGAGGGGCAGGGGGTTGTGGGCCTTGGCCCTGGAGCACCTAGGGGGCAGGAGGCTGTGGGTGGGGAGTGAGGAGCAATGGCAGGGACAGGGGGCTGTGGGTGAGGAATGAGGAGCTCCTGGGGTTGTGGGGGGCTGCAGTCTGGGAGCGAGGGGTCATGCTGAGAAAATGGGGTTATAAATGGGGTTACACTGAGGAAAAGTTTGGGAAGCACTGCCACATATAACATCTCCATCCCAAGACTCATGCCTTCCTCTACTACTTCTAATTCCCACACTGTGACCTCATCCCCTCCACCTCTCACTCCTGCTGTAGCACCCAACACTATTTATTTTTTCCCTTCACTTCAGCCCTAGGCTCTTCTCCCCCTATTACCCTGCCCACACCAGCAAACATTTGTTTTCATGGTTGAATGTCTTTTTATAAATTGTGACTGCACCTGAAGAATGTCTTGCATTCAAAAGTGTGTCTAAGCCTATCCCAGATTTGCAGCTGGTCCAATAAAAGATATCACTAAGAAATTGTTATGTCTAGCATCCTTTGGAAGGCACTGAACATCAGAAATGAAGTCAAGATTCAAATTCAGGGGTTTTACATGAACTTTCTATTTTGACTCAAGTCCCCACCCAGAAACCTGGAAAAATAAATGATACCTGGATGTTCTAAAGTGAACAAACAACTCCATTAGCGAGCAATAATAAGCTATAAACAGGGTTTAATAAAGAGGAAAAGGGAGCAAACCCCAATAAAAAGCTTAATCTATGTGTCTAAAACCACAAAACCACAAACTAAGCTAAAACCACAAACAGTCACCAGTCTACCACGGTCACCACCAAACAAACCCATAGGAGCTCCCATTTAGCCCAGTCTGCTGGGAAGTGAGACTCACCCAGGGCTGCTATCTGAAGGCTTTACCACCTTTACCAGACAAAGTGGTATGTGTTGGGTAAGAACTGCTGCTCGTCACTGTTGGTGCTATGCTCTGGGGACTCTACCACCAATGCCAGCTAAAGCAGCAAGTGCTGGGTAGGGACTCCCAAACTAGAGTTTGTTGCTGTTCTCTTCCTCCATTGGAGCCACCACTATTGGTAACTGCTGCTCTTCACTATCATTAAGGGTTGCCACTGCTGGGAGTTACTGTTGCTCTTCAGGTTGCTTGCAACCCCAGCTCTTTTAGACTCTGACCTGCAACATGCTGAAGGATTTTAACTCTTCTAGCAACTAGCAGGTGACAGGTTTCTATCTAGACCTGCTATAAAAACTTATCCCCAAATACTCTTTCTCTTCATGGGAATGGATGCCTGTAAGGTTTGACTGAGACAATCATCCTAAGTAAGTATTGCCAGGTCAGGGAGCCACTGGAGTGAAAGCCAAAGTCATGTGGGTTTCAGTCCTCATCAAGGATATCAAGATGAGGATTAAGATAAGACATTCTTCAGGTGCAGTCACAATTTATAGAAAGACATTCAACCATGAAAACAAATGTTTGTTGGGGTGGGCAGGGTAATACAGGGAGAAGAGCCTAGGGTTGAAGTGAAGGGAAAAAATAAATAGTGTTGGGTGCTACAGCAGGAGTGAGAGGTGGAGGGGATGAGGTC